TTTTTAAAATTTCTTTCATCGACCTATTATACCTACACGCATATATATATATATATATATATATATATATATATATATATATATATATATATATATATATATATATATAAAGTGAACATTGAAGTCAACACTCAGAGGCTGTTCCATGTGAAACGCAATCGTCAGGCCGCAAGTGTTGAATTTTTCGACTATTTATATATATGGGTAATCCATTCTGGAGGTTATTTTGGCGGAAGTGGCTTGTTTATTTATTTATTTGGGTTAATTTATTTTACTTGTGTTTTATTTTCATTTTTTTTTTATATATATTTATTTATTCTTTTCGGTTTTCGATGTTTTATTAACGTGGTAAAAAATTTTTAGGGATTTGCTTAGGTCGCTTATTTAATAGTTTGTTTTGGTCTGGGAAGATAAAGCTATATATTCGTCCAATTTTTGGATTGATTGCCGTAGTATATTCTGCTATTTTTGGCGGGAGGGACAGTTTTTAATTTGTTTATTACTTTATTTATTTATTTGGATTGATTATTTTTTTACTTGTTTTTGCTTATTTATGTTTATTTTTTTATTAGTTCTAACAGTTATTTTAGCGGAAGCTAAATATATATATATATATATATATATATATATATATATATATATATATATATATAAAAATCTTAGTAATCCGTATGGTTAATCCCAAGGAGGATGAAATCCTGTGAGCTCAATGTTAAGTCAGAGCGAATAATTTAATTTCAAGAAAAACAGACTTCTTTAAGGATCCATTTGTTATAATTTATTTCACCAGAGAATTTTATTTTTCTCTGGATCTTCAGATTTCACTAAAAAAGGTAAAACGAAAAATGAATTTAAAATTTACTCTTTTGAAGGGCAGTATTAAGCTTATATAAGTTGAGATAGAAGGTGGTGGGCAATGGTGTGAGAGACATGGTCGAGATTAGATAGGGAAGGGAGAGTTTTAAAATTTATCTTTATTACAATACTTACTATTGAGCAGGAGGAGCAGGAGGAGCAGGAGGAGGTAAGGATCAGACATTAACCTATTTAATCGGTTAACTATATATATATATATATATATATATATATAGAGAGAGAGAGAGAGAGGGGAGAGAGAGAGAGAGAGAGATGTATTTCTATATATAGAAAGATGAATTTCTTCCGAAATGAAGTTCAGACAACTTCAGACAGAATTTCCTACTTGCCTGAGAAGAAAGATCATTCGTAATTTGAAAATGTCGAGATCAGTTTAATGTCGAATGTAAGTCTCAGACGACAAGAATCACAATGTAATATTATTGCAAGTATCGAAGCAGAATGTTGCCCCTCTGCAGTGGTGGATTCTGTGCCATCCTTATTATTATAACAAAAATTCTTTTTTTTTAACCTGTATTTGTGTTATAATCGTATGCCAGGTCATCACATTTGACCTTTCCACAATTAAACAAACGACGGCTATTAACAAAAAAACTAAATGAACAATGCTTTCGTAGGACATAGGTTGTGCTCGTTAGAACTGTTTTTTTTTTATTTCCCGGAGAAATGACACACCAGGGATTTGTTGATTTGTTCTTGAGTTCCTTTATTAAACCCAAAACTCCAACCCCCAACAGTAACAGATTTAGTTTCTCAGTGCCACATTTTTATATTTCCGTCTCCAGATATTTTTATTTGTTTAGATTTTCAAACACCTCCGCAGACATGTTTTTGGCCACTTGGTACGCTCATGTTAATCAATGTGCAAACCTTTTTCTTTTCTATCTTTGATAATAATGTCTGGACGATTTGCTTTCTCTTGTTCAATCTGCGTTGATAGAAAAATCCCAGAGGATAGTAACATCTGGTCACTCAATTACAGGATGATGTCCATCCCAGTTTTCAGCTGTTTTTATCCCGAAATGATGACAGATCTACCTATGCACATATTGGCTTACCCTTTCATGACTTTTTTTGTACTCATTGGGTGTTAGTATTGAGCGCCCTGAGATAAGTTGATCAATAGTTCCAATGTGTTTGGTCACAGAACTTACAATAAATATTTAATTTCGTAAAGCAGTAAACATTTAATTACTTTTTATGGTTTTCCGTCATTCACATAACGCAAAAGAAATAGATTTTGAAATAAATTAGACTCCCGCGAGTATGTTTCCCTGAATACTACAATCTTAATCACTTCAAGTCAAAGGTCAACAGCTATCTATCCTCCCTGCTTCATCCGCGTCCATCCAACACCTCTTACATTCATATCAGGCACTTCATTGAGTAAGCTTCTACCTTGAGTGGTTCTTGGGCCTTGCCTTGTATGAACTTTAGTCTAAAGAAAGTCCGAAAAGCAGAAAATTAAAACAGTAAACATTTAATTACTTTTATGGTTTTCCGCCATTCACATAACGCAAAAGAAATAGACTTTGAAATAAATTAGACTCCCGCGAGTATGTTTCCCTGAATACTACAATCTTAATCACTTCAAGTCAAAGGTCAATAGCTATCTATCCTCCCTGCTTCATCCGCATTCATCCAACACCTCTTACATTCATATCAGGCACTTCATTCAATAACTATTGCTTACACTCTCTGGCAATGACTGCTGAAAACCTTCCATTGCCAAATTTATCGACAAATCCTGTATATTCGCGTTAAATAAAAATGGACAATTCTTCAGATCTTTGTATTTGCTTAGTTCATCGAAAGCCTTCGTAGAAATATTTTTGTCACTTGGTACATTTATGTCAATAGGAAATGGAAACTTTTTTTTCTGTCTTTGATAATAATGTCTGGACGATTTGCTTTCTCTTGTTCAATCTGCGTTGATAGAAAAATCCCAGAGGATGGTAACATCTGCTCCCTCAACTACAAGATGATGTTCATACTAGTTTGCAGCTGTATTTATTTATTTATCGGTGGGCATTTGTCTATGGTCAAGTCGCGCTGAAAAAAAAACAACGGTTCTATTTCGATCACCAAAGTTAAGCGGCATCGACCTTGCTTAGTACTTAGATGAGTAACCGCTTGGGAACATCTTCCACTGTAAGCAACTCTCAACAAACTGTAATATGCTTTGGCTTTAAATAACTTTCAAAATGTTGATAAACCGTAAAAATAAAACCATTCATTCTGTCATAGTTTTTTCATTAAAACACTATGAGAAATAGTCATTCAAAAAAACAACTGTATATGGTGTTTTTAAAAAAATGTTTTTATATTCGTCTGAAAATTTCCTCTTCTTCCAATATTGTTGACACAATCCACCTTTCATACCCCCCACTCTCATGGGATCCATTAAGGTTTCTTTCAAAGCTATTTACAATTGCTACACTTTTCACATGCCCAAACAGCTTATTCCAGCTAAGGAGTTGCTATAAAACATTTTTTTTTTCTGATTTGGGATCCAAAGAAGTTTTTCCTAATCCTGCCTTCCATACACAAACGATGACCGGTCACCAAATTTAGTGGCTGACTATTTTTAATTACTAATTTCCTCGGTTATTACAATTACAGATTTGATCGTGTCTTATGACACAGTTTGAGAAATTAAACGAATATCAGACTTCTATGGCTTCTCCTACAAAGAAAATGTTTGCCTTTCCGTTGAATGTAATTAAAAATTACAAAATTTATATGGAACAATAATCAAAGGTTAATAATGAAGAAAGAATTATAAGAATTTAACGCTAAAATGGGTTTCTGGAAATTCTAATATTCTCAAAGACTTTGAGGTACGAAATACTTAAAAAAATGTATTTCAAAAGAAAGAAAATAAAATAAAAACTGGTTTTTAAAAAACTTGAAATACAGTATAACCCGGATATAAGAGAGTTGTCGGGACCGGAGACGAAGTCTCTTATATCCGGGTTTCTCTTATATCTGGGTTTCTCTTATATCCGGGTTTGGTCTATTTTATATACATTAACACGGGCTCTAATTTGGGACCAGAGAATATCTCTCTTATATCCGGGTTTCTATTATATCCGGGTCTCTTATATCCGGGTTACACTGTAATATGTTAAGAAACTATAAAAGAAACGTTGGTTTTTAAAGAATTGGGAGAATTTTTTAAAACAAATAAAGAAAGAATAAAAGAAATAATGGTTTTTAAAAAATGGCGGGAATTTTTAAAAAGAAAGAAAGAAAGAAAGAAATAGTGGTTTTTAAATAAATTCAGAGTATTTGTAAAAAGGAAGGAAGAAAAAAGAAAGAAAGAATGAATGAATAAATGAATGAAAAATATTGTATGCTTTTTGAGAAAATTGAGAGAATTTTTAAAAGAAAGAAAGAAAGAAATAAAGAAATACTGTTTTTCTTTTTAAACTTGAGAAAACATTTAAAAAGTAAGAAAGAAAGAAATAATGAAAGAAAGAAATATTGGCTTTTAAAAAATTGAGAGAATTTTTACAAAGAAAGAAAGAAAGTGGGTACTGACTTTACAAAACTTAAGAGAATTTTTTTAAATGAAAAAAGAAAGAAAAAAGAAAGACAGAAAGAAAGGAAAACTAAAAGAAAAAAAACTTGACAAAAAAAAGAAGAAAAGAAAAAGAAAAACCTAATTAAAAAAATAAAGGAATGAAAATTGCTTAGAGAGAAAACATTTTTTTTAAATCAATGAATGGAAAAACAGACAACTTATTTTTAAAAAATTAAAAAAAAACAAAATAAAATCTACGTGTCACGTGACAGGCGACGTTTTACAAAAGCATAAGATTTATTTCTTAGCAATTTTCGACTCTGCCTTCTATCACGTGACTCATGATTTATCACTGGATAAATAAGGCTGACCGACTTCTTTTTCATTATTTTCTATTCATTTGAGTTTTCTTCTTTTTCTTCTTCTTCTTCTTCTTCTTCTTCTTCTTCTTCTATTATTATTATTATTATTATTATTATTATTATTATTATTATTATTATTGATTTGTAGACATTGATTCACTCTGGTCTTTTGATAGATACAGAAAATTATCGAATCTATCCCCAAACCTGTTGTTATAATTATTCTGCGTCCCAAGATGAAATCTGTCTCTTTAGGTAACATAGCATAAAAACAAGAATCGATCTTCAGTTCTTCTTCTTCTTCTTCTTCTTCTTCTTCTTCTTCTTCTTCTTCTTCTTCTTCTTCTTCTTCTTCAGATTCGACTGCCCTTGAGCAATCAATATTTTCAGCCATTGTGAATGCCGTCATATGACGACCACGAAAACTGACGATTGTAAAGGTTGGCACTATACCATATACCCTGAATTAAAACGATAGACAGACAGGAGGCGGTTTGGCACGTGTTCTTAAGAGCCCAGTGCAACTCAAATTTAATAGCTTGCAAGATCAGAACAAGTTCTTTCGCAAGGGCAATCGGCCATCTTGTTCGAGGTAAATCTGTAAGATGAAGAATAAAGAGTGGTAATTTGAAAATGCTTCAACCTCATCAGAGCAGTCCCGCATTCAAAATGGCGATTGCTATTATTTTATTTCTCCATCTCACAGGAACAAAGAAGATCTTTCTCTTTATTTTCGACTGTCCAAGCAAGAAGATGATACTTTAGCTCTAAAGGGATTAAAACGATTAAAAATGGACTCAATTATGATTTTGTATTTTCTCGCTACATCCACGTAAGGAGGCACGGTAGAGTAATGGATAGCGTCTTGGATTGAGGAATCGGAGAGCCGAGTTCGAATTCCAGTCGAATCCATCACATACGTGCTAATACCCTTGGGTAAATAGGACAGACTGGGTTCTATAGCCTTGGATGGCAACTGGTCTAGGAGAAGGAAAACTCTGAATTCAAAACCTGCGGAGGGTCGTTTGGGAACCTTGTGGCACGTAGTGCACCAGGTCTCTGCATTCGGCCCTTCAAAAAGTGTGGATGGCCCTGCACGAAACCTTCACCACTGTAATCAAATCTCATGTGCTATACATGCGGGTTGGGGACCGCTTGTGAATTCCAAATTCCCATGAAACTCCAATATTAGAGCCGGCTCAACCCACCTCGGGTGAATACCGTTACAAGAACAAGAGAGAAGAGATCCACGTATCTCCCGGCAGGAAATGTCCCCGACAGAAAAATCATTAACAATTTGGATTCTACATATTATAATCCTACTTTATCAGTAATGCTTGCATTCATTCCTGACAACTAAAAATCCCTTTCTTCTTGATTTTCAATGCATTCCTATAGTAAAATCATTGGCAATGCATTTACATTATACATATAAGAGTCCTATTTTATCAGCAATGCTTAGATTCATTCCTGACCACTGACAATCCCTTTCTTCCTCATTTTCAATGTATTCCTATAGTAAAATCATTGGCAATGCATTTACATTATACACATAATAGCCTTATTCTATCAATAATGCACGCATTAATTCCTGACTTTTGACAATCCACTTTTTTAAATTTTCAATGAATTTCTATTATGAATGCATTTACATTATGCATATAATAGCCCTATTCTGTTAGTAATGCTTGCATTCATTCCTGACCATAAGCTGACTTTCCATAAGTTTTTTACAAGCACGGATTGGAGCCCTTATGAAAAGGAATCATCTTTAACCAAGTTCTTGCTGTTGAAATTGTTGAAAAAAAATTGGCTGGGTGATGCTTTTGCCATTTTCGTAGGCTTTAAAGGCTGTGAGCCACATGCTAAATCTTCCTCTTTTACTCGGCGTTTAGGACCGAAAAAACCGTCCTGCCATCACGAAGCTCGAATATGTAACCTTTAAATTGTGGCAGGTAGACACTCATAGAGTTTTATTATCGTTTCTGTAAAAAATAATTCTCATCAATATTATCAACCTCTTGATAAACATTGGAATATAAAATGAAAGTGTAAGGCGCATGCGCATGAATGAACGAACGAAAGACGAAGATAGAAGAAAGTTTTCAAACAAAGTATGTTAACATAAGACGAAGGAATTCTAACCTACTTGGTCACGATGTTTCGCCTGCCCTGTGGGAGCCGCCATTTGCAATTTCTGTAAAGCGCATGCGTGGTTCTAGTGCTTTTAAAACTATCGTTTACATGCGTTGTCAGAAAAAAAAAAACTGAATAAAAGATGAGCCGCACAGCCAGAATGATCTACATAACTTGACCCCTGTGCTAAGTGCGACTATCAACGACACAAAGAACGATTTCAACTCTGTAATTTTTCAAAAAGAGTGTTGCGAATATTTACATACACAATATATGAAAGTGTTCTAACTTAAAATGCTGAAAATCAAATTTCCGTGTTAGGACTAAAAGAGAATGGATAGAATAGGGAAGTAGATCACTACTCACCTCCCCAGGTTGACCTTCACAGCCCGAAATAAACAGATCATAAGGTTTAAGGAATAATGATCTCAACGCAGAAGAACGGTCAAATGGAGAAGGGTAAAAAGAAGCCAGAAAATGAAAGCCGCCGATTTAATAAGAGAAAGAGGGAAAATGTATTCTGAGGTTTTAATAAATTCGACGGAAAGAGCAAATCTTCTATACAAATCTTTTAATACAAGAGATTCCTATGAGTGTTCGCTTTGTTAATCCTTTCTTCTTGTTAAGCTTCATAAAACTGTATCATATGGATGAAAAGTACACAGACACACAAATATATATGTGTGTGTGTGTGTGTGTGTGTGTGTGTGTGTGTGTGTGTGTGTGTTTGTGTGTGTGCAGTAGACCTGATAACATCTGACGAGTGGACAGAGTAATTCCCGAAAATCGGGATACTGAAGGTACCATCAACCAGCCAAGTGACAAATTTTTTGACTAGTATTGCGTTTATACGTTATCTTTTATAGATATAATTGATTTAAGTAAATGCTCTGTGTTTTTAATTAAAGAGTATTAATTACATTTACCGGCCTGAAGGAATTAATACTGTCTAATTAAAAAAACACACACGGATCATTTACTTAAATAAATACTCTAAAAATAACGTATAAACGGAAAATATATTAAAATAATTGCTGACCTTAATCCATTTCATAATATATATATATATATATATATATATATATATATATATATAGAGAGAGAGAGAGGGAGAGAGAGAGAGGGAGGGAGAAAAAAGAGACACAGAGAGAGACACAGAGAGAGGGGCGAGTGTGACAGAAAGAGTGTGTGAGCGTTAATATAAATATAAAATGCTAGCAGTAGAGACCAAAACGTCCGACGTTGACATTATATTAACATTAAAAACAGCAGAATTGCATATTAGGATTTGTGTTTGTTTTTCCGTATATTTTTTTCATATATATATATATATATATATATATATATATATATATTATATATATTTCAATTAAAGTTGCAATTATAATTTATAAATTCATGAATCATTCATACAAAAAAAACAAATATAGAGGTTAATGATTTAAATGGCGAGAATACATCGTCGCAAACAATATAAATAAGATACATCAACCCCGAACATGTATATGAATGATATGATCCCTGTTTATAAATTCCAGTTGCATAAGGTCTTTTTAATTTTTTACTAGCTTTCGTCTGTTCCTACAGACATCTTCAGGTATGGAAATAGATTTTGTTCTTGTTTTTACTTCTCGGTAATAAGAGGACAAGCGCACGTTCCAAAACAATAACACATTTCTCATAGCATTTTTTCGGATTACATCTCTATTTTCGTTGTCCTCTTATTACAGAGAAGTAAAAACAAATAATAATAAATTAGAATCCAAAGTATATCGTAAACCCACATGTAAAAACGACTATTTACCCTTTTACTCTCACCATGATACTAACATTAAGAGGGGTATTATTATTGGATTCTACTTAATAGCTCTTCGCATCTGTTCAGCAAAATATTTAGATGATGAATTCAGTTATATTGAGGATACCTTTTCAAATCTTTCGTATCCGAAACAATTATTACTGAGAGCTAAAAATAAAGCGTTGAAAATTCATTCATCAGCGCAAAATGACACCTCGAAGGCCACTACTACAATTACATCAGTGAAAGGCACATTTTCAGCTGCCCCTGATAATTCTTTTGGTCGCATCTTTCTACCAAATAACCATTTGACCGAACCTATCTCCATTAATTTAAATGCGCTAAATATTAAAACTACAATATTACCTACTAGAACTATCCGCAGTTTATTAAATAACACCAGCAAACAACATATTACATCCGATGCTTGCATCTACCAAATCTCATGCAACAACTGTGACTTAAAATATGTGGGTGAAACATGTAGGTCCGTAAAATCTCGTGTTTTCGAACATAAACGAGATGTTCGCCTCGGTAATTTAAACAATGCTTTATTTGTACACACATCTAAATCTGATCATAATTTCGATTTTGATTCTGAAAAAAATTAAATTTAAAATATATTCATAATAAAAATCTTAGACGGATTTATGAGGCAGGCATAATATCTATCACACGCACGGTGAATGCTAGACCTGGTTTCTTTAATATTTCCCCTTTTCTAGCAAGATTAATGCTCGACAAACGTACATATAAGTTTTAGATTAAAATAAAATTCTTTTCATTTTTCATTCAAAATACTCTATTTTAGGAATACGTTTTCACAACATCGCCCACGTGACGACGACGTGATCATATTGTGAAACGGAACGCTGATTTTGAAAAATTTCAGTTATCTGTTGAATTGAATATAGTCTAATGTTAATTATGTTTTATGAATATGTCCTGAAGATGGTCTGTTAGACCGAAACGTCCGACGTTGACATTATATTAACATTAAAACAGCATAATTGCATATTAGGAGTTTTGTTTGTTTTTTCCGTATATTTTTCTTCATACTGTCGGATCTATATTCATATATTTGCTTACATATATATATATATATATATATATATATATATATATATATACATGGTGTCCATAAAGGCTGTTTACAATTTAAAAATATATTACAAACGCATTTGATGGTTCATCGCATGTAGATGATCTTCAACCAAGCACCATTTTCTAGTAAGATGGTGCAGCACTACACACACACACACATATTTTTATATATTTAGACGTCATTTATTCAGAGATATCATGTTGATTAGTTTTCGTTATGATCAAAACAAGTTAAGATGCAAACTTGAAAGGCTTACAAACTAATCGACATATGTCTAAAATTATTTAACTAAACCTGTTTGAATATATATATATATATATATATATATATATATATATATATATATATATATATAT